ACCAAACCAAGCTAGGAACTGTTTTTGTACAAGCCTCATGGTTCCCTAGCTCCATAGTTTGCCATAGTGTTTCCTTTGCCTGAAGTATCCACCCTCATCCCCGTCTGATGTGTCCAAATGGTACTAATTCCATGAGACCCAGTTCAAATGTCATGTCCTCGATGCCTCTATATGTGATAATATTTTCTCTTTGACTCCAAAGTTCTTTCTTTGGACTATATGTAGTTCCTATCTTACATGTCTTGCCTCTTCATAACAGACATAAATAAAAGCTTCTAAGTTCAAGAACAGTGTTTCATATGTTTACCTAAGTTCTACCTACTCTGCATCAAAAAACTAGCACAACTTTACTTGATGGTAGAGAGTCAATGAATATTATTGAGTGACTGAAGCCAGCTTTCAGAAAGACTAGAAAACAGCTAATATAGAAAAGCAGGAAGACAGTTTTCTAGACTGGGAGTTAGAATCATAGGCTCTTACAGCTTGAGAAATACTAGTTGAATCTTTTCATAGCATATTATTTGAAAAAACGGAAGCCTATGTAACTAAGTAAGGATCCAAAATGAAAAGACTGGGCCAGATTCTAGGGCTTCCATTTTCCATTCTGGTGTCTTTTTCAATTATTTTTTAATTATACAAACCCTATAATAGATAAAAATTTTGAAAAAATGTATTTATCCATGATCATGACTCCACAATAAATGAATTGCTATTATTCAGATGCTCATTTCAGCATTATCCATAAGAATATATAGTTTTGCATAGATAATCCTGATTCACCTAAAATATCATGTTTGCTTTATTTTCACTTAATATTATGCTACATTCCTTTCTCTTTGTTATTATTGTTACTATAATTAAAACTTTTTATGACCACATAAATTTCGTTGAATTAATGTACCAGAGTGCTCCTGGTTTCCCACTAATTAGTTAAAGCTAATACATAACTTTCTCCTTGTAGTTTTTATTTTTAATGTTTCCAATGGGTATATTTCCAAAGATGAGTTTTCTAAATCAAAATCTATAAATATCTTCATTGATTTTTTAATCTACACTATGAAACTGTTTTCCAAAAGTGTTGTTTTTAAAAGGATTACACTACTTTTACAATGATCTGACAAGCATGTGTTATTGTTAATTTAAATAGGAAAATGGTACTTGAATGTTACTTTAATCTGCATTTTCCTGATTATTAACAATGTCTACTTCTTTACTCTTTGTAATTCTACTAATTGAGAAGGTATCATTTATCTATGTCTTTTGCCTTTTGGCTATTCTTAACATTAAGTCTTTTTTATCTTTGATGCAATTTTTAAAATTAATCTGCTTTTTGCCCATCAAGAAAAAAATAAACAAAATGAACAGCAACACTGAGTTCAAAACAAACAAACAAAAAAAGGATCAGAAATGACCACAATTAAGGTTATAGTCTTCTCTGTCCTTCTCTTCTATTGCCCTCCCACTAGTCACTTCTCTAATTTCTGTTCTTTTCTTGAGTCCAGGTTTGCTTTCTTCTTCCTGTTGTGCTTTCTTGAACTGTCTTCCCAAAGCTTCCATGTGGTTTGCAATATTCTGCTCTTTTGCAAGGCAACATATCAGTTTATCCTCATATTCCTTAAGGTAATATTCCCCAAGGTGGGGTACAAGGTGACATACTATTAGTGGAATGTAGGATAATTTAAAGTGCTCTATAGACAAACTTTGTAAAAATTAATAACATTTTATTTAATGTATATTATTATCTACTTCCTAATTATATCAAGTGACACTGATTTTTCCACTTCTGTGAAGAATTTATATATAAAGATACTTAATAACATATATTTTTTGGCATATGGACTTTTATCCCTTTCTCATGTAAAAGGAATACAGAGGTAGGCCAATCCAAACTGGAGATGAAGCTTTCTAGGGCTATCAAAAACTCAGGTTCCTTTCATCCTGTTTCTCTGCCACTCTCAGCATGTGGTATACACCCCATGGTTCAAGGTGGTAGCCTGAGTGCCACCATATTTAAGCTAGCCATGAGAAGAATGTATGGCAGTGTCATCAACAGAGCTAGAGTATGTTTTGGGAAGAAGACCAGGATTCTAGTTTTAGACATGCTGAGTTTGAGGAGATGTTGACACAGACATTAACACTGTCAAGTAAGAGTCTCGTACTTACAGAGAAAATCTAGACTGGAGATGTAAATGTGGGGATCGCCTGCATATGCATGCTAATTAAGGCCAGTGGTGTGGATAAGAATGCATAGAAATTAGTGTAGCGTAAGAAGAGAAGTAAATCTAGCACTGAGCCTTAAAGAAATACCTATGTTAGGCTCGGCGACATGGCTCATGCTTATAATCCTAGCACTTTGGGAGGCCAGGGTGGGTGGGCTACCTGAGCTCAGGAGTTTGAGATGAGCCTGGGCAACATGTGAAACCCTGTCTCTACTAAAATACAAAACTTAGCCGCGTGTGGTGGCACATGCCTCTAGTTCCACCTAGTTGGGAGGCTGAGGCACAAGAATTGCTTGAACGTGGGAGGTGAAGGTTGTAGTAAGTCAAGGTCATGCCACTGCACTCCATCCTGGGCAATAAAGAGAACTCTGTCTCAAAAAAAAAAAAAAAATGAGCACAGTAGCTTACGTCTGTAATCCCAGCACTTTGGGAGGCCAAGGGATCATGAGTTCAGGAGATCAAAATAGTACTAGCTACTAAGGGGGGCTAAGGCAGGAGAATCGCTTGAACCTGGGAAGCGGAGGTTGCAGTGAGCCGAGATGGTGCCTCTGCACTTCAGCCTGGGCGACAGAGCAAGACTCCATCTCCATCTCAAAACAAACAAACAAAAAAACAAAAAGCAAAACAAAGAAAGAAATACCTATGTTAAATGGCTGTGTAGGAAAATAAAAATTTAAAAACAGCCTGTAAAGGATACAAAAAATGAGTAGCCAGAGACGCAGGGTAAACAAACAAAAAATAGGGGATTATGAGGAAATATATGCCAAGAGGAGGAACTGTTACACATAGAAATCAAGCTGTTCAAAGGTCAAATAAGATGCAGACTGAAAAACATCCATTGTATTTCATTGTATTTCTCAACATGGAAGTATTGATGATTTTTGCAAGATTGGCGAGGGGGTCTAACTGGAGTGGGTTGCTAAGTGGATGGGAAGTGAGGAAAGGCAAATCGACAGATTGGACAGCAGAATAGTGCAGTTGTTCCTGAGAAGGAATGATGTATTACACTTAGGCCTTGAAGGAAAACAGTGGGATTTTTCATATCGTTTTGTTTTAAATGGAAGATCTTAACATATATAAAAGCCAGGAATAATTCATTTCACAAGGAGAGAAGAAATATACAAGAGAGTGTGAAAATCCTGAAAATATGGGAGAGGGTGGGAAGAAAAGCTCACCATTGTAGACATGGGCTTTAGCTAGGAGAAAGAAAGACAACCTTCTCTATTAAAACCAGTTATAGCAAAGAATGATGAATGAAAGCGTGGAAGTTAAAACAGGGTTTGTAGGTGTTTACAGGAGAAGTACTCAGGGAGAGGTGCATATCAGGTCCTTCCCTAGTTTTATGTAATTTTCTTCTGCTTATGGATACAGTCTATTGTTTTCAGTGGTGGTGGAATAGTAGGGGTGGGGAGCAGGAGAATAGTTCTTGCAGTGTGTTGTTTCATGATACAGAAATGGAATCATAGTTTAAATGATTGTTACATAAGTTTTATATTTCTTTTAATTTGTAATAGAATCCTAGCAAGCTAGACATTACCTCACTGTCTCATCAAAAGCATTGCTATTGTTTTCATTCATTTTAATGACTTATTTTTCCAGTGGTATGAGGGATTATGTAGAGCAATGATCCACAATTATTTTTGCACTTTGATTTCAGAATCTCAGGTTGAATACAAAATGCTTTTCTCTTCTTAGTTTTATTTTACCCAACTAACTTATTATTCTATGCTATGACTCCTGTATTATCTCTTTAATATATTTTTCTTTTCTATGACTTTCTGTGCCTTGAGTATCCTGATAAACTTTAGAGAAGTGGAACCAGTATCCTTACTTTGAACTTGGTAAAGTCTTGGGAGAAATACCCCTTCCTAAATCCTCAGTGTAATCATCATCCAGTTTTAAACACATCACACACACACACACACACACACACACACACACACACACACACAAGTCAGAATCTGCAACTTTAATCCAAGACCAAGGAATCCTACTTTAAAAGGTCTGTCTCACCATAGGCTTTTTTTTTTTTTCCCCTGTATCCCACATGTACCAGTGATATAGGTGGAGAAATGTAGTAGATAAAGAAATGAATTTGGCTTCTGGAGCTGTTCTTTCATTTAAATACCAGTTCTGTCATCTTAGACAAGTCACTAAACCTTGGTTCCTCTGTGTGGATCGGAAATAATTATACACCAACTCTTCACAAACCTAGGGTACTCATGTGAGGATTAGCTCCAATAGGCTCCTCACAGGTTTTTCATGCTTGAAGCACCATTAATTATCCCCTTCTCAGTAACTGTATAAATCTCTAAGTTAATCCATTAAAGTCTAGTCATGTTCTCTCTGTTAGCAAGACCCAACTGGGCAGATAGTCCTATTAGGATCATTGTGAGTCTCCCCAGGGTTCTCCCCCTTCCATTTCTGATTATGCTGTGAATAAATTTCCAGAATTTCAGAGGGGTTTGCTTGCAAGCTAAAAGGTCTTTGCAAAGACTCAAAGAATAGGGTCTGCTTCAGACAGAGGGAGGGTTTGCAATATGCGATGAACCTCTCAGTCCCATTAGAACCTTAAAGATGATGATAGCTCACATTTAGTGTAATGCTTAATTTGTACAAGACTATTCCAGGCACTTTTGCATGTAGACAGATAATTCTCAGATGACCCCTCTGATTAATATCATCATCATCTCTATTTTACAAACGAGGAAACTGAGGCACAGAGAGGCTAAATCACTTGTCCAGGATCTGGAGCCAAGTAACGGAGATGATGCTAGTCACACTGATGTTTCCTTTTCTTTGCTGCACTCGGATTCTGAGTTTCACAAGAATGTACCTGGGTGCCCATTAGCGGGATATGAATAGTTTCTTCGGAACCCCAGCGGCCAGCTGGTGCCTCCTGGAGAGTGACGTCTTATCTTAACGGGACAGGGAGGCGGGGAGCGAGCGCAGAGCACTCAGCGCCCTGCACCGCGGCGGGGCAGCCTGGAGCGGAGCAGGGAGCCCGAGGCTGACAGACGTCTGCTGGGGTTGAGCCGCCAGACCGCGAAAAGTAGCTGGAGCCAGAGCAGGGACAGAACCTGTTGCTGCGGACCGGCTTGGTGGATTCTGGTTCCCGCCGCCGACAGGGCTCGCCGGGAGAGGTAACAGCATGGGCCAGTCTGGCTGGGGGCCCCCGCGTAAGGGCGCGATCCCTCTCTAATGCCTAACGCTTGCCTTGATGATACATATTAGCGATTGGGGACTGACACCTTGGATTTTTCAAATCCCTTCCTAATTACACAGGCATCCCTTTGGTCACTGGCCCGACATTGGGGGACTTCTCTGCCCTGGATGTCTGCACCACAGATGGCTGTGGCCCCAGGCTTGCAGAGCAGGGACCTGGTCGAGGGATGTGGGGCGCTTTCTTAACCTTAGAGTTTCCCCCAAATCCTCTCCAGGGCTGTATTGTAACTTTGTTGAATTTCCTTAGCCGGTTTGAAGCTAGCGAGTTTCTAAACTGTTTTCATCCGTGATGCTTCTGAGCAACGATCTTTGTGTATCTGAGGCTTCATCCTGTGCATTTCCACTTGCTAGAAAAGCTAAAATGAGGTTTCCGAGCTGCGTCCAGGACATCAGAGTCCTTATTGAAGGCGTTTGGATAGGTTTTATCCCCTTCCGGGAGTGAGATAGGGTTTCCAGACAATACCATTTTAGTTCTTCCGCCAAACTATCAGGCATTTTCCAACAGTGCTGCCCTAGGTCAAATTTAGGGTCTGGAGGAGAGGAAAATGATCTGCTTCAAGCTATCATTCCAGTTAAAGACAGAACTACTAACTAAAAACCAAAAATACATTTGTTCATTTCCCATTTTCCCTCAGCTAGACTGCAGATCTTTGAAATATTAATTTATTTTTAAAAATCTTATTTATAACATAAATTATACTAAGATGGTGGTTTACTTTTTTTTAATCCAAATATGCAAAGTTGTTGTAAACGTATATCTAAATTTCTAATTCCATTCACATCCAAATAACTTCCAAGTGGTAACAATTAATGAGAGGAAGTATGGAAAAATCAATGGCTTGTAAACTGTGAAGGACATATTTTTGGTTCCGTCTGGATTTCTAATTAAACCATAATAAATTGAGTAAAATTATAATAATGATGAATCTAAGTTACGGTTGAATTTGTAAAATGGCTATAACATGCTCAAAAATAGTGCCATTATCATCAACAGAATGGTAATTGTATGCAGAATTCAGTTAGAATATTTCATCTGTTAAAAACGTCTATAGGTTGATCATTTTAAAAAACAGTGATGCAAAATAGTGCAGTAACAGTACTTACTGCACTGAATTTAAAGACACATATTAACATTAAAGACTGGCTATTGTAATAACAAAAATGTGCTTTCTTTATTGCTTGAAAATAGCAATATATCACTATCCTATTCTTTTCCTCAATATTTGTTTTTCCAAAATCCATACACCCCAGTAAGATCTTTCTACTAGCCATGATTTCTTCGTGTCTATAGAAAACTTCAGAGCATTTGAGGCTTAAACTTATTTTTGCTTCATCTATCTATTTGTCTGTTTTATCTGGCAGTTTTATTCTTGGTGCATTTTGTGAACACATTATAAAGTATCTAAAATTATATATTAGAAATTCATTGTTTTATTTGTATGCTTATTTTATCCCATAGTTCCTATAAATCATACTACTCACCAATACTATCTTTTACAGATGCCAAAGACTATAGGTTGAATAAATATGAATTCACTATAAACAAATGAATGATTTCTTCCTGAAGTATCAGCTTATTTATTGTAGTTATTCTTTGGCTGTGTGTGTGTGTGTGTGTGTGCATGTGTGTGTGTGTGTGTGATTTTTTATGAGAATTCCATGCAAATGCCTCTGTGATATTATAAACCTTTTGACTGTATTGCATTAAAATGGATTTCCAGCTGTAATATGGAACACAAAATAAGGACAACTTCATGCCTTGAAGCTTCAGATACTTAAAAATAATAATTTTGTAAAATACTACCCTCCTTATTATGGAAAAAAGGACATTTATTTTAGCTAAATATTTTAAAACTGTCAAGCACATTCAAAGAAAATGGGATAAATATAGTCTCACATTCCTAAAACATATCTGGATTAGTCTATTCTCATGCTGCTATAAAGGACTGCCTGAGACTGGGTAATTTATGAAGGAAAAATATTTAATTGACTCAAAGTTCTGCAGGACTGAAGAGGCCTCAGGAAACTTACAATCATGGCAGAAGGGGAAGCAAACATGTTCTTTTTCATGTGATGGCAGGAAGGAGAAGTGCCAAGCAAAAGGGGAAAAGCCCCCTATAAAACCATCAGATCTCATGAGAACTCACTCACTATCATGAGAATAGCATGGCAGTAACTGCCCTTATGATTCAATTACCTCCCACCGGGTCCCTCCCGGCAACACATGGGGATTACAAGAACTACAATTCAAGATGAGATTTGGGTGGGGACATGGCCAAACTATATCAATATTTATATAGTATTTTAATAATCTTAACAAATTGTTCCCTTAAACATGTGCATTTTATGCTTACCATTAACCTGATGTTAACAGTTAATTTTCCTTTCCTCTCTGTTTCCCTTTGATTTTAAGTTCTAGCTTTATGGATAAATTGGTTCTTAAATGAATTTTCCAATTGCCTTGAAACTGAACGTTAAGGCTTCAGGGAGACTTTCACTCCATTAGACTAGAAGGAAATGGAAATATACTACCCATACAAAAAGATGCAATGGTCACTGCAGCAGACAGCTGTTGAGAATGGTCTGGTATCCTTGCTTTGTGGAGTTTTCAAATACGAGACTTCTAAAAGTAAAGAAATTAGGTTTCTTCCCAGTCAGGCTTCTAACTGGCTCTGTGCCTCAGGCAAATCATTTAACTTCTCCATGTCTAAGATTCCTCAAATGTAAAAGGATGAATTATAATTTGATTTCTAAAATCCTTTCACCCCTCTAGATTTCTCTGTTTCTATGGTAGAGGGCAGAGGATCCAGAGTGAGAAAGCTCATATATCCTTGCTTTGCCATTTGAGAGCTTCTGCCCTTAGGCAAGGCCCTGAAATTCTATAACATCAACACCTCCTCTACAAAATGGCCTAATAGAAGAAATTAACAGAATGATCTATTGTGCTGGATACTGTGTCTGGTATACAGGGGATGCACAATAATGTTTTTAACGCACGCATCTCTGAAATATCTAAAGGGATTTCTGCCTGTGACGGGGGAGGAAACGAGCTAAAAGCAGAGGAGTCTCTCCTGCATCTGCAGGTGGGCAATTCCCAGTATAGTTTCTATAGCATGTACCAGAGACCAGGAAAAGAGAGGTCCAGAGCCTCAAGCATAGTATGAATGCCTCCTTGATATCTTCCCATAGTTTAGCCCCGCCCCCCCTCAAAAAAAAGGCAAAGTGAGTCAGGACAGCATAAATATTAAATTTAATGCCACACACGAATGACAAGACATGTCCTATTCTGGTTTCCATGTCAAACTAGGCTTGATTCTATTACAGCTAAGCATACCAGCTAGGTCGTATAATGACAATCAGAATAATTGCACAATCCAAATCACACCACACCAGTAATTAGAAAAGAGAAAGAAAAAAGAAACAAACAAAATAACTCCTGAAATGCCAAAATGTTGGTTCTCTTTCAACTGTATTTCCATTTAAAATTTAAAGTTTTCAAATATTATGAAAGTATATTTCTTTCTTTTTTTTTTTTTTTTTTTGAGATGGAGTCTCGCTCTGTCGCCCAGGCTGCAGTGCAGTGGCGCGATCTCAGCTCACTGCAAGCTCCGCCTCCTGGGTTTACGTCATTCTCCTGCCTCAGCCTCCCCAGTAGCTGGGACTACAGGCGCCCGCCACCTCGCCCGGCTAGTTTTTTGTATTTTTTAGTAGAGACGGGGTTTCACCGTGTTAGCCAGGATGGTCTCGATCTTCTGACCTCGTGATCCACCCGTCTCGGCCTCCCAAAGTGCTGGGATTACAGGCTTGAGCCACCGCGCCCGGCCGAAAGTATATTTCTTACTATTTTCTTCTTGGGCTATTATAAGAGTCTTATTTAGGTGTCTACATAGAGTCTGGGTTCCATGTGGCAGTTGCAGACTAAAGTAACTGCCATTAGAACTGATGAGCCTTTTTCTAGTCCCTCAGACAAGTCTCAGTTGATCCGTATTTTCAGAATTCTGGAGGGTTTACCAAACGTATTAGAATATTATAGTTCTGGTTGCATTCCCACAAAATTTAGAAAACATCAATAATTTCCCAAAGCCAAATGAGATCAAAATATCTAAACTTAAGTGAGCTGTAACCATACACATTATCTCATTTAATCCTCATGATTTTAGAAATTGAGTAAGCTTACAATCCGTTTTTGGTGTTTAAAGAAACTGAGGCTCAGAAATAATTTGCCAAAGTAAATATGTTTACTAGTTTGAGGAACCAGGATAATGAACTCATGTCGTGTCCCAGTCCACATGTTTAAATTCTACACTGCAGGGCTCCCAACTATGTAGTAACAACAGCTTACAATCAAAGTACCAATTTCTGCATATACTGATCCTTTCCACATGAAAGCTATGTACCTAGGAAGAGATAAATATTACAGTCCTCATGAAGATTTTTCTAAGTGGAAGTAAGAAACATCGGAGTTATTTGTGAAACTTTTTGAAATGTACCGCCACAGATTAGCAGGCTGGAGTTGGGTTTGGGTGGTATGTGTTTGTGTGTGTGTGTGTATACACACATTTTATATATATATATAATATATACATTTAAATATATAGTATAGATATGATTCTGAGTCAAAATTATTTTCATGATTTCCCATAATGAAAAAAATTTGTCCCAATCCACATTGCCATTTTGTAGCCATAGACAGACTAATCTTAAGAATCTTAAGTGTTGTCTTGGACAGGAGGTATTTAGAAAAATTATAGCAAGAGGATAAATATTTCTTCAATTTAGCCTCACCAGAATGTGAGTTAAATCAAATAGTTGTATATATTAGAATTTATCACCTGCAAACATACAAGGAAATAAGGACAAATTTTAGATTAAGTGCTTGCACATGACCTTATGATTCTCATATCTTGGGGGAGTTTGT